TGACCACCTCTGGCCAGGTGGATGGGTGGCTGCTGATGGGGGATATAAGGCTTGGATGGAATCTTGGACTAGGGCTGTGGCTCAGTGGTTAAAGCACTTGGCTAGCTTATGTGAGACCCTATGTTCAACCCCCAGTATTAACAGAAAAAAAGATGAGTAGAATCTTGAGGTAGCTTCTGGCTTGACCAAAAGATTTCCTCAGACGTTCCTACCTGACTCTTTTCCCAGGGTGAGAGCTAACACAGGGGCCCCGCTTGGGCAGGGCTAGAGAGGCTGGCCTTGGCTTAGCATGGCTCCCATTGCTGCCTGCAGGTTGCACCGGGTCCAGTATGAGATGCCTCTCTGTGACGAGGACTCCACCTCCAAAACCATGCACCTCATGGGAGACTTCTCTGCCCCCGCGGAGTTCTTTGTGACCCTTGGCATCTTTTCCTTCTTCTATACAATGGCTGCCCTAGTCCTCTACCTGCGCTTCCACAACCTCTACACAGAGAACAAACGCTTCCCGTTGGTGGTGAGTGAGCACAGCCCAGACAGACAAGGCCAAGAAATGGAAGAGCCATTTGTGAGAAGGCTGAAATCAGAGATGGAGGGGGGAGGTCAAAAGTGATGGCTTCTCTGAGTCCTTGATACCTGTGTGTGAAATGGAACCTCCACCCGACCAACCTCTCTTGGTTTGTTTGCAGTCAGAGGAGGCAGGGTCAAGAGCGAACCTAACTAGGTTCAAATCCTAACACTTGCTCATAGTAGCCGTGTGACATTCAATGAGTTACTCGGTCTCTCTACACATTAATTTCCTTGGCTAAAAAATAAAGATGGAGTGATGAATACTTGTGCTGAGTGTTTGGGGACGAGAAAATGAGTATTCATGTATAGCATCTAGCATGTAGTTACTCTCAATGAGAGCTAGCTACTCTTGGTATTGTTTCTTCTACTTCCTCTGTCTTTCAGACTTTCAAGATGGGGAGTGGGCTTTAGAGACCTCAATTGTCTTCTGAATCCGCTTTCTTCATTACTTATAGTTTGGACAGTGGTAACCAAAGGGCAGCTGAGAGGAACCAGTAGGCAGTTTAAATCACTCGAGTTGCAAGGAGGGAGGATTACCAGCAGATACCTTGGCAGCTCGTTGCCTGACCTTAATTTTTAAGGGCAGGGGTATGGCAGTCTGAGTGGCAGCATTCCTTTGGTGGCACTGAACAGGGTCCTCAGGTAGGATGGGAAGAGACAACTGTCTTGGGACCTTGGGATTCTGGTGTGACAAGAGGAAAGAAAAGTAGCTGATAATCATGAGGCCATTCTGAATATATCTTCTTCTTTCTGCTCCTCCTAGGATTTCTGTGTGACTGTCTCCTTCACCTTCTTCTGGCTGGTTGCTGCAGCTGCCTGGGGCAAGGGCTTGACTGATGTCAAAGGAGCCACACGGCCATCCAGCCTGACTGCAGCCATGTCCGTGTGTCATGGAGAGGATGCAGTATGCAGTGCCGGGGCCACACCCTCCATGGGGCTAGCTAACCTCTCTGTGGTGAGACCTGGGTCTGGGAAAGGCATAGCAGCCTAGCTGTCCCAGCTGGCTGGATCTGAGATGAATAGAGAAGGTGTCCCCAGAGCCCATATACTGTGCCTCTAGACTAGTAACCCCTGCCTCTGACATTGACCTGAGAAGATATTTTTGGATGAGAATCTGAGTCACTTCTTTATCAACTCTCCCTCCCACTTTCAGCTGCCCTGGAAGTTACCCTTTCTCGCCTGTTTGGCCACAGGTCACTTGAGAGCATGTGCAGAGGGCGCTCAGGGTTGTGAGTGGACCATTGTGAGAGAGAAACTGCCCCTTGTCACTTAGCCCTCCCTACCGGAAAGGGTTTAGGGGGCAGTGGTGGGTTCAGTTGGCAGGCAATCCAAGTTTTGGCCATGCTGGTTGTTTCAATGCCGAGATGTATCTATGTAAGCTGATAAATACCCATCCACAGCAAATGCCCTTCTCAAGTGCCGTTTTGTCATCTCAGCCACCCCATACCCACTCAGAAAATGCTCCAGACCTCCCCAAGCCCTCATTTGAAATGTTTAATGGCCAGTGCACCGAGAAGCCCTCTGAAACCATGCACATAGGTTTCTCTTCCAATTTTTAAATATAAAATTTTTTACATATCCAGCAAAATTGAAAAAAA